GAAACCAGGGGTTTCCACTACCGTGTGCGGAGTGAAGACGAAGATAGAGAAAGAGTCACGCGACTAAGACCATCCACGTCGGATTCCGAATTGGTCAGTGAACGACGATGGGCATTAATACGGAAACGAGACACGCGAAGCGTGCCAAAGTCTTTCTGTTCTAAACGACGGGCCGTAGCCAGGTGGGAAGTCCGACAATATTTTCTGGATTGAATTTGTATTTCTCTCTCTTCTCGCGCCAAACTTCCGCGCGCCTTTTGTGTCGCTCGAAGAACGATCGACTTACTTCATCGGACCAACACGGGGGATCTCAGTTTCGTATGTGTCCCCACACTCAATCTCCAAAAATCCTTGGCACACCCGATCGTGCTGTTTTTTTTTGGGCCTCTTTCCGCACATCTAGCACTCTGAACGAAAAACAGCGCAGAGTGTGAGGTTGCGCGTCAGAAACAACTCAAAGAGGGGGAAATATGAACCTTGAAACAATCAGTGGACTTAGTCAAAAACTGAGATTGCAAAAATGAATGAGTTCCGATAACAATTATAGTTTTTTAGGTAGTGACACCTTCCTTGGAAATGGGAAATCATGGGGCACCCACCAATGCACCTCCTACTAACCATGGGCACGAGCGGGCACGCCCGGGTTTTCGCTTGCTACAAGCTATGGTAACTGCGGAAGGTCTCACTCCGCTGTTGTCCGCTGCCGGAACCAGGCTCCAGATGGCGGCGCGCGACACAACAAAATTCCAAGTAGAGAAAAAATTATCCCGGGGGCAGATCTTCCCGTAGAAGTAATTCATGGCTTGGCTGCGAGAGTTACCTCCCGTAGCAAGGATTTACACGATTCCACATGTTCCTTGGAATGACGCAGGATGGAAATACGCCCAGAAGGAGAAGGAAGAAGTTATCGCTTTCCTTAAAGAAAAGATGGTTTCCCATGTAGCGGAGCCGTCTAATAGCGCTTATGCTAATCGATGGTTCTTTCTACGAAAACCGAATGGCAAGATCCGATGGATCCAGGACCTTCAGAAGGTCAACGCGGTGACGATACGAGACGTGGGCTCCGTGCCACAAGCCGATTTACTAGCAGAAGGCACCACAGGCAGGTCAATTTATTCGGTCTGTGATCTGTTCTCAGGCTATGATGAGGTACCGCTTGATCCTAGGGACATGCACCTCACGACTATGCACATGCCATTGGGACTGATACAAATGATGGTTGTCCCTATGGGTTGGACTAATGGGGTAGCTGTTTTCCATAGAGCCATGGTAGCCGTCCTCAAGGACTTCATCCCTTACAAGGTTGAAGTTTTTTTGGATGATTTTCCTATTAAAGGGCCAGTAAAGAAGGATGAGACCGAGGTTGTACCAGGAGTTAGAAGATTCGTCGAGCAGCACCTAACGGATATTTGTGCGGTACTCGAGCAACTGGATGATGCGAATTTAACGGTCAGCGGAACAAAGAGCCGATGGGCCGTCTCGACTATTAAGATCTTGGGCTTTATTTGTGACTCGAGAGGACGCTGAGCAGATCCGGCGAAGCTAGACAAACTCCTGAACTGGCCGTCACCGTTACATAGTCCAACCGAGGTCCGACAGTTTCTGGGAGTGGTCGGTTACTGGCGTATATTCATACGGGGGTATGCGGAGAAGG